ATGTCGTATTCTTGTTGTCTATTGGTCATTAGCAATTTATGAAATAAGTTAACTTCCTGCAGCAATTGCCCCAGAGAAGCAAGCCTGCCCTGCGGTGACTATGCTTTTTCTTGAGATCCTTTTATACTTTTCAGGTGGTTTATCCTCTTAGTTAGATGACTATTGCTTTGTGATTTTTAGCATATTGACTGTTTGACCTAAGCAAACAAAATTGTTGATATTCTTGATACACCTTTTGCAGGTTTCAAAAAAAGAGTAAAACTTTAGTGTATGGTGTTACTTAAATAATCACTGCATTGAAAGGAAAATATGGTGACCACTGTATATTCAGACTAGCTGAAAATTTATGCATGAATCTCATTTCATCACTCAAAAACTTCTTTTATGTGAAACGGGAGGGAAAAGTAAGTGATTATTTTGAACTGAAAACTCAAAGTCCGATTTCCTGTTCATTTCCGTTCTGAATTTTTCTGAATTAGATATCTTTATCTATTTGTAAAGATTGTAGACTTGTAAAATTAGATATCTTTAGCCATAATATATATTTCATTGTCTGATTGTGTGATGTAGAAAAAGAGCTTTGGTCAAGGGAAACGGAAGATGATAGCTTGAACATGCGTGGCTCAGCGTGGATATGCTATTCGGAGAGCCGGCTACGTCTCTGATTTCAATAAACAGGTTGACATTTTGCACATTTTTCTCAATTACGATTGTACTAAGACTTGACAGGTTTTAACTTTTTCTCCCTGTCTGTGTGGCTTTTGGGTGTTATAGGTCACTAAACAGCTCCTTGCTGGTCACTTTCTCACATTGTTTCTCTTCACCCGCTAATGAAATATCGACACAATATACACTAAAACCGTAGTCCATAAATATATACACAATCATATGGAATTATTTCAGGTTTTAGCTTGAGAAGAAGAAAAACAGAAGCTTGTGATCACACGCTGCCGAAACTTGGAGAGTGGTGTCATCAATGGTATAGAATGGGTTATTAAAACAGAGCAATTGGTATAAACACAAAGACTATAAAAACAATGATCTTGCCCTTATTTAGACAATTTTGTTGTTTCAATCCCAGTTTACGAATGTAGAACAGCTTTGGTGTTTTCTTTCCCGACTTCCAATGGTTTTGGACCATGAGAGGAAGTTAACTCAAATCTTTATTACTAAATCCACCCAGGTCAATAATGTTTGATGTTCCTTAATTTTCAATATATTCTACATATTATACATACATATTTTATCGTCCAGTACTTGGAATAGGTTTTCCATTATGTTTTGCTCAATAGAACTAAAAATAATAGTCGATTTAACTTGGCAGTAAAAAAAATTAGAAGAGCACTAAAAAAACGAATTGGTCAAATGTGGTTTCTGTCCAACAATAAACGATAATTTGGTTTATAATTGGGATTGCAGCCAAAATATTAGAATTATATTTTTTTCATGTATATCACCAAAATTTACCAGTTTTAAGTCAATCAAGTTTTCATAACTCCATCAATAAAAAAACGCATCACACATAGTATTGTGTATACTTGAAAGGAGTATTCTAAAAAACGTTCTAGACGTCCGTCTAGGCGGTGTTTAGACGCTAGATCCCTCGATTACCGCTTAAATATTATGGTATTATAAAAATAAAATAATATAAATTTTTATATATATAAATCGTAAAATTTTATATATTTGGCTATAAAATGAATAATATAAATACAATATAAATTTTGTTAGTTATAAATTATGATTTTTTATATATTTTATAATATATTATGTATTTTTGTAAAACGCTTAAACCGTTTATTAAATCGCTTAGACTCCGATTAGACGTTCTAAGCACTAGGCATTGGTTGAAAGTATATCACACATGGCAGGACACATTTGAACAAAAAGTTCAACACTATCTAATGAAATAATAGAAATTAGGCGTGTCGTTATAAAGTCTCCAATCTATAGTGTTTAGTGTTTACTATTAAGAAAAAAATGTGTTTATTCTAATAGTTAACTATTACTAGGCGCATAGCGCGGGCTCTCATCTAGTTTTCTCTAAAAAGCCACTAATGTAATACTAACATTTTTCCCTAAAAATAGTCAAGTTCTTTACAGATAGAATTACCATTTCAAAGAGAAGGAAATTAAATTAAGAAAATAAAAATATTAAACAAAAAGTCTCTCTATATCTCTCTCCCGCCTCTGTTTGATTTCGTTGCTGAAGTATCAACGGAACGAAATAGAAAATTAAACAATCTTTCTATGAAATAGATTTGAACAAGTATCACCATATTCAATCTCATCTTCTCTAATAACTTAAGGCCGTTGATGATCTTCTATTGCTTATATTCAACAACTCATTTTGGTTTTAAACTTTTAATTGGATTGTGAAAGAGGAGAGATGTCTGGTTACGTTGGTGTTCTTGTCTCTGATCCATGGCTGCAGAGCCAATTCACACAAGTGGAGCTACGGAATATTAAATCAAAGGTCTCTATCTCTTCCTTTGATCACACATCACTTCACACTTTGCAACAAATTGACCTTCCAATTTTTTTTGTTTTCTTAGTTTGTTTCGACCAAAACTCGGTCTGGTCGTGTCACGGTGGAAGATTTACCACCAGTTTTAGCAAAGTTGAAAGATTTTAATGGCACATTTGACGCAAAAGCGATCAAAACTATATTGGATGAGTCTTATCCAAATCGCGATGAGGAAATTGAATTCGAAACCTTTCTCAAGGTGAGTTTGATAATGATATCTCTACATACCTTTAACATTTGGCTAATACACAGTATGTGTCAGGCTTTCCTAAGTGTGCAATCCCGAGGAACAAAAGGCGCTTCATCGTTTCTCAAGACAAGAAGTACAACGTTTCACCACGCGATCAATGAATCCGAGAAAGCTTTCTATGTGTCCCATATCAATAACTATTTGAGAGAAGAAGATCCTCTCTTGAAAAGCTATATTCCAATCAATCCTGCTATGGATGCTCTGTTTGATCTTGTTAAAGATGGTGTTCTTTTGTGGTAAACACACACATATCATCTTTACGACTATTTCTTCTATAATATGGAATATTTGAGTGTGCTTGTTCCTTTTGGTTTGCACAGTAAGCTTATAAACGTAGCAGTGCCTGGGACGATAGATGAAAGAGCGATCAACACGAAGAAAGACCTTAATCCATGGGAGAGAACTGAAAACCTTTCACTCTGTCTCAACTCTGCAAAGGCTATTGGCTGCACCGTCGTCAACATTGGAACTCAGGACATTGCTGAAGGAAGAGTGAGTAAAAGGAAGCTACTTCCTTTATTTTCTCTGTTTCATATTCTGTTTTCTAATTCTTGCTTCTTCTCGTCTTTGTAGCCGCATCTCGTACTTGGGTTGATCTTTCAGATTATAAAGGTAAGTCACTTTACATTACTTTACATAAAATGATGAGACATGGTTACCAATTTTTGTTTTTTTTCTTCTGTTTGGGTGGAAACAATCAGATCCAATTGTTGGCTGGTCTCAATCTCAAGAAAACTCCTCAACTTGTTGAATTAGTGGAAGAAAACCAGGTAAAGTTCATATATTGTTGACCTTTTGTACAAGTTTAAAGTGTTGTTATTTTGAAGACTTAAACTATACTTGATTAATGGTTTTTGCAGGATGTGGATGAGCTTATGGGACTAGCTCCTGAAAAACTATTGCTAAAATGGATGAATTTTCATCTTAAGAAAGCTGGTTATGAGAAACAGGTCTCCAATTTCTCTTCTGATGTTAAGGTACTAACTACGCTTTTTTCTTCTTGGTCTTATTTTTGATTTTCCAGTCTTCTTGAGGAAATCTATCTATCTTCTGTGTTTGGCAGGACGGAGAGGCATATGCATATCTGCTAAATGCTCTTTCCCCAGAACTCAGTACACATGAGACATTAGAGATCAAAGACCCTTCAGAAAGAGCAAAGAAAGTACTTGAGCAAGCAGAGAAGCTGGACTGTAAAAGATACCTTTCTCCTCAAGATATTGTGGAAGGCTCTGCAAATCTCAATCTTGCATTTGTGGCACAACTGTTTCAGCACAGGTCAATACCAAGAAAAGCTTGTTAATTATATATCTATTCTTCGACTTAAATTACTACAAGTTACAATCTTTCTTGTAGAAATGGATTTACTGATGAGAGTTCGAAGATGCCTATCTCTTCTTCTGAGATTATTACCGAAGAAGATGAAGAAGCTTGTCGAGAAGAAAGATGCTTTCGCCTCTGGATTAACAGTCTTGGTGGTGTCACTTATGTCGATAATGTTTTCGAGGATGTTAGAAACGGGTGAGCATTGCGGTTTTTGTTTTCATTGATTTTTGATTGGCTTGCACGTCCTAAACATCTTCATGACATGCCAGATGGATTCTTCTTCAAGTTCTTGACAAAGTATCACCAGGCTCGGTTAACTGGAAACCCGCAAACAAACCTCCAATTAAAATGCCATTCAAAAAGGTTGAGAATTGCAACCAAGTTATCAAGATTGGGAAAGATCTACGCTTCTCGCTTGTCAATGTGGCTGGTAATGACATTGTGCAAGGAAACAAGAAACTCCTTCTCGGTGAGACAAATCCTTCTACAGCCAATAGTGTGTTTGATATTGTAGTTTCTGTTCATACTCGATGACAATCTTTGTATGCAGCTTTTTTGTGGCAGTTGATGAGATACACAATGCTCCAAATTCTAAACAACTTGGAATCTCACTGGCAAGGTAAAGAAATTACAGAGGCAGATATTCTAAACTGGGCAAATAGGAAAGTCAAGAAAATGGGTCGGACCTCTCAAGCTGTGAGCTTCAAGGTAAAGAAAAGATGAGTCAAGCTTAATGGAGACTACCCATCTTTCATTAAGCCTAACAAATTTTGATGGTTACATTTTAGGACAAGAATCTGTCAAATGGATTCTTCTTTTTGGAGCTTCTGAGTGCTGTAGAGCCTAGAGTTGTAGACTGGAGTCTAGTAACCAAAGGAGAAACTGGTAATAATAATGCTATGCTACTTTGTGTTGTCTCTTTTTAGTTGTTATCAAGCTTTTGAAAAGAATGGTTATGTTTGGTTTGTAATTGGGATGTTAATTACGCAGAAGAGGAAAAGATATTGAATGCAACATACATCATAAGTGTTGCAAGGAAGCTTGGATGCTCAATTTTCTTGTTGCCTGAGGATATTAGAGGTAGATATATATCATATAGCTTCATATGGCGAAGTTAGGTTTTTCGTGCTATCAGGTTAATCTGTCTTGATAACAGGTAAACCAGAAAATGATGCTTATATTGGCGGCTAGCATCATGAACTGGAGCCACCAGCAACAATCAGACACTGAGTCTAGTGTGTCTGATGAATGGGACTGTGACAGACGAAATCTCTAATTTGTCCACAGACGGTGGATCTTAAAATGATGTAAAACAAGTTTCAAGTTTCTTCTTCTTTCCAATTTACAAGAGAAAAAAATACAAAAAGAGAAGAAAGGAGGATAAAACTTTATATGTACACAAAATCTGATACAAAGTATAAAACTGTTTATTTGATTTTGTGGTCATTGCAGACTCTCGTGGGTAAGATGATTTGAGTATATTGTAAAACTGTGTCATTACATATTCCTCTTGGTTATGTTCATCGTTTTGCGTAAAGAAAGATTAAAAAGCTTCTATATAAAAATTACGAGAAAGGAGTAACAGTATACAAAAAAAGGTACTCAAAAACTTGAATGTGAAAGGAGAACACCAATAATCATGCGCTGGTGTCTTTGTAGTCCCCAGCTTCTGACTCCGATTTCTCGTGCTCTGCCATTTCCACAAGCATTCCGAGGCGCTTATCAAAAACCAAAGCACTCTCATCTCTCATGTCAAGCTCTAAAGCCTCTGCTTCAAGCCATTTCTCTCTCAGATCATCAAGCAGATTCCCTTGGTCTGTGGTCATCATTGCACCTGGTGCACTTGGAACAGTGGTTCGAAGTGAAGAGTCCCCTGATGGCGGAGGCAATGTTAACAGCATTGCCCTGAACTCGCGGGTTTCTACAAATGCCTCAAAATTACAAGCAACCAAGTCTAGGCAGTACTCTCTTATCTTCAACACGCCGTACCTATGCCATTCAAGTTCAAAACTAAACCTCTCAGCTTATACATCATCAATGCTCTACTACAGAAACGTTATTAGCATCCCCATTCTTGATCCAGTAGAATCAGAATCATGAAAACGAGCTTCAAAGACGTCAAGTGTGGTGGATAGTCTTCACGATGCAGAGAATAAACTTTATTATAGTAAAATACACAACACTGTGCATCATTAACCTATTCTGCATTGATGGTTCTCAAATATAACTCTAGCAGAGGCTAATCTAGGTAGCTCAGTTGACGATTGAATGTACCAAATTAAGCCATAAGTTGAAAAATGGAATAGTTTAGAAGAAAATCATACATATCTGACAGAACGAGCCAATGACATAGTTCTGCAGGTGTGGCAGTTTCCAAGTGAGGCAACAAGGCATCAGCCACAGCACGTTTAAGAGGAAACAGTAAGTAGCGAGATGCAACATCAAAGATCTCTTCAGCCTGCAAAATGAGCAAACTATCAGAAGGTAAAATGCATAGAAAAAGTTCTGAATGGCAAACAAGTTTTTTACCTGATTCGGACTGATCTCCTTCAAGCCATCAGTGTACCTGATAATGCTTATTGAGTTAGCTTACCATGCTAAAAAAAAAACTTATTTAGGCTTTTTACAATCATGGATGCTTACATATACTCAATCATCTTCTCGAAAGCCTCGGCGCTCAAATCATGTTCTTCGAGAGATGGAAGAGTATCACCCGGCAAACCACTTTTACCCTCATGGAAATCATTCACTCGGGATAATCGTGCTCTAAAGTACTCTGATCTCGAAGCTAGAATGACTTGATGGCAATAGAAAATCTTTTTATCAACTTTAACAGAAACATCAGCAAGGCTATCCACAGAATCACTAAGTCTCGTAACCCCAATCGATGAATCTCTTGCATCACCACTGGTATCTGCAAGTGATTGTGCAAGGGAAACTCGCAGAATCCTATGCAAGGAAGCAGGAAGCCTGTCTTCCTCTGGAAGGGATATCCCCTGTAAGATGAACCGCTTCATGGAGTTATCAAGATCTCTATGTGTTTTGTACTCAGCATATTTTTGGTGAATCAGTTCTTTCTCGATGATTCTTTGCAGTGATTCACATTTACAAACTTTGCAGATCCTTACGAGATCTTCCATATCACCAACCGATATTTCGAGCCTGTCTGAGTAGAAGAAGTGGATGAGGCTACACAAAGCAGGATACGAAAGCTTCTCTTTCGAGAACTCTCTCCGATCTTTCCATTCATTCTCTAACTTTTGCTTGAAAAACGGAGATCGAGCACTTAAGATAACTCTGTGCGCTTCAATGGGTCTACCTTGCACAAAGAATATCACATCCGGTGGGAAGTAACTGGAACAACCCATCTCACTCTGAGGATCTAGTGAAACTGAGAATGCAAACATTCTCATAAGCAACAAGCACAAGAAGATAGATCCAAGAAGATTGATTTTAAGAAGAAACACAAGTACAAATGTACTGAATAGGATTCAAGAGCTCAACTTTCATAAAATGGTAAAAAGAAAAGAGAAATCCCAAATTGAAATCATGGCGGTGGCTACTCACATCGGAAAACGTACCGGAAACATCGATATTAGCATGAGAAGCTTGTTTCAGATAAGCCCGATTGTGGCAGCAACCCAAGAAGGTATCCCTAAGAGAAGCCTGCAAGGGAGCAAGCGGAGGCGGACGAGCCTCGAAGGCCTTGAGAAGCTTCCGAATCCTGAGGTTAAGAGATGCGTAGTGACAACGATCGCCGTCGAAAGTGTGTTCGGAGCAAATCGCACCGTTCTCAAGAAGCATCCGAGCGGCGTCGATGTGACCAGCGAGACAAGCGTAGTAGAGAGCGACGGAGTCCCAGCGGTCACGAGCGTTGACGTTGACTCCGGTCTGGAGAAGGAATCGGAGCCTGTCGACGTCTCCGGCGCGTGAGGCTTCGAAAATGTCACCGTTGGGGACTTTCTTCAAAGGAACGGAGGGTCCGGAATCTTGGAGGTCAACGTCTAGATCCTCGAGGTCGGATTCGAGTGTCCAAGAAGACGATGAATTCTCAATCGGAGACATGGTCGACTAGTTTGCTTGGTTCCTAGTCGGAATCGAACCCATAAATCCTTAAGGAAATGGTACTGAGGTTTTGAGAGATATTAATTGCAGCTCCAAGAGAAGAGCTGAATCAAAGGGTCTTATTACGTGCTACAGGTGATTGATTGATCTAGTAACTTCTTACTGTAATTTTTACAATTTCAATATTGCTTTCTTTTTTTTTTGGTGAGTTAATCTACAATTTGCTTGAGCTGTTCAAACTGGCTTAGGTTTCACAAATTCACATATTCTCAATAAAAACTGCTAAGCATACTTTCTTCAGTGCAAACCATTATGAAAACAATCTCTATAAAATCATTTAAGTCTTTTCTAAGCATCATGAAAATTTTTACCAGTAATTTTTCTATGTTACTTAGGAGGGTGGAACGATATTTGCTAAAAAGTTGATTAATAAAAGAAAAATCTGCATTCTTCCCAGCTAGTGATGGAACATTGTGGAAGTGAATTTAATTTCTGATGACGAGTTTAGGAAGCTCTCCGAAGACGAGGCCAAGTGGCTATCCAAGTTTGGGGTGATTGATGTTGATAACCTTTATGTGAGTGTGTGTTGAATGCGACTCCGCCACATTCATCTCGTCCTTCACACTCTCGGCATGTGCTCATCGAGGTCCTTGTTGGCATTGATGATCAGCATGAGACCATTGATCGATGTGTTTCTTCTAATGATGTGGCCGTTTGTGGA